GAACCACGATACGCGCTTTTGTACTTTAAACGACGAATATGTATATCGCTTGAACAATATGTTAGTGTTTGGCCTAGCTTCTCCTCCGATATTCGGCGTGCGTGATTTTGTCACACAAAGTAAAGGACAGTTTTACGCCGACTCCGAATGGCAATTGTATTTAATGAGAAGTTGTTTCCATGACAGAATACACTCGGAGGTTTACTATTCCCAACAGAGGGGCAATCACTATTAGAAAAACTGGGCTTGAACTCAGGCTCTGCGTAATGCTCTACAGCAGCCGCCACTACTTTTACATATATTGCTGGTATATTCAAAATACTATCCCGAACTTCGGAGTGTATATATGTAATATAAAAAAGAATGAGAGGTACTATAAGAAAATGTACCCAAAATTCTGGAGCAAATGGAAAAATGCTCATTGAAAATAGTTCACATGTATAAATTAAAAGATATAACTTAATAGGTTACAGCGCTAAACAAAAGGAAAAGCTAGAAAAGATAGCAATGCGGTTTGAAGGAAACATGAAGCCATAAAATGCTTGTTTGTTTCGTTAATACTCTGAACTTTGTAAGATATGGCACTCTTTTATTTGCAGTAGTTTGCAAATATTCACTCATGGTTCTAAAATCGCAAACATTTTCGTGGGATGTTTTTGTTTGATTTCGAATTGAAAATACATTACGATCATATTGTACCGAAATAAGTGCGGTATCCCTGCATTTTTGTAAAAGCCAGAAAGAAGCATAAACTGTATGAAAAAATGAAAGGGAGAAGTATACATGCCTTCTATAATTTTGACTTATATGTATATTTGGCAAGGCTTTGTGTAAACAACAAAAAATACAATTTTTCATTTCTTTGCCAGCTTAGAAAATATAGGCTTATTGTTACTTAAACGTGATATAAAGCTCATTAAAATGTTCCGTAATGTCTTGTTGTAAGTTTGTTATCATAGTTCTTCGTATTTTTATTGTCCACTAAACGTGAGAGGCTTCAATTTAAAAAGTTCTAGTACAAAGAATTTCTTTGTTTTGAATTTGATTGTTTATTGTTTTTAATTTTTAAATTCATACTTTTGACATGTATGTGAATGGCGGAGTTGCCGCTTTCCTCCTTTTCGGTGGGTTTTTATATTAAAAAGGCATCAAAATGGGAAAAACCCCCCTTGGTATCTCTGCATCTGTTAAACTTTTTATGGGAAGATGTATGAAAATTCAACTTGCTATAATTTCATATGCTTAACAGTATCACAACAGTATGTTTACAGTATCTCCCCATAACTTTTCATATGAAAAAATTTATTATATGCATCCCACTCGATATCATTGAATTCCTCATTAGAACATGTAGTCCCTCTATTCTAGCGTATCAACAGTTCATATGGCTTCATACCATGTAAATGCGCCATTACGTTCCAAAAATTTGCACCTTCTCTATCTATCTAAGTTCTCTGGAGTTACGGGCTACAAGCCTGTAGCTGCCAGGTTCGATCCTCGGTTGGAGCGATTGCGAAATTTTTTTTTGTTTTTATTTATTTTATATTTTTTTTATTTTATTTGATCTATATATTTAATGTTACTTTATTTTGTTTTCATTTGCTTTATTTTATATCACTTTTTGAATTTTACTATCAGTTAATTTAAATTTTTAGAGTTGAATTTTAATAAAAAGTCAACAACAACTAACTGAAAGCAACGTAAAAAAAATATAGAACTTATAAAAAAAAGAATGAAAAAAAAAAATAAAAAAAATGAAAATTTAATTGGCCGTGGGACTCGAACCCACGACCTTGCGGCTCGTTTATCCGCATAACTGCCGTCTGTGAGGTCAAAATTATTATGCGCATATGTATGCCAGATTATATGCATAAGCTTTGCCGTCTGTCACAGCTTTTAGAAAACAATTATTTATCGCAATTTCTTTGCGAATAACCAATTTTTAATGGTACTAAGACTCGGAATTTTCGAATTTGGTAACCGGTATTAAAAAGCTTTTTCATTTTGGAAATGACCATGATAAAAACAATTGGCGTCGTATACCACTCCGTTTTTCTCGAAATTTTTAATCGGCACTAAAAACCCGGGTTTTTTTTCAAAATTGGCAACAGGTACAAAAAACTATAAAATTGTCTATATAACCGTGACATAATCCTTTTAGGCTTTAATAAATTACGACCACTTGTTTATTTTTCAGCGATGCGGTAATTGGCAATAATTTGTATTTCATTTAAAAAACAATATTCCTACCAAATTAATAGATCGGATATCTAATTTTTATTAAGATATTTTTCTGAACAGCATTGCCCCCTTTTAATCGTGTGCGGAATTTTTTCCAGGTACATCTAAAAATAGAGCCAGATTGACTGTACTATAAGTCCGGTGATTGGCCCAATGCAAGCCCGAAGTAGAAGGTTGCGAAGCAGCTCCACTGCAAGTTGTTTCTCCAACGATAAACAACGAGGAAAATGGGTTTCTCTAGAAATAGTCTCGAATTGAGCGAAAATCTGAAATTCATTATATTAAAAGTTCCTTATAACTGGCGTCCACTGTAATGTTACATACACACATGCATATATACGCACAAGGCATTAATTCCACTTAAATTACATACATACAAAGCATTCAAATTAAGTTCTCTGCTCTGGCCATGCTCCAATAAATTTGACACCTAAGGTGGAGCTTAACTTAATGGAGAGTTATTAACTTGCGTGTATGTTTGTATGTAATTACGTGTTAATTTTTGCCCTAATATGGTTATCCTTATTTCCATTTTTCCGTGTTTCCATTTTATGCCACGCAATAAGTTGAAGTTGTTAAATAAGACAAACCGCGTTTAATTTAATTATTATTTTTAAGTTTATTGAAAGAAATTAATTTGTTTTCAACTTTTTTTTAAATTTACATACCCAACAAGCAAAATAAACTTAAAGTAGGTTTTTTTTTTAAGTTAACTAAAATAAACATAAAGTTTACAAAACGAGCATTCTTGGTTTATAAAACGTTTTAAAAAGGGTCATTTAATCGAAACGATGTCTTGCTTAAAAGCGTATGAATATAAATTTATAATAAATTTTAAACAGATAGTATTTTTTCTAGGTTTTGTCCTAAACATTTGCATTTTACTTTTAAAATTAAGTGATTTATAAATATTCGCTCTCGACATTTATAAAAGGTTCATTTTAAAAAACTGTAAATACCCTTATTATTAAAACCGCTTCTAGCGGTTATATATATATATATATATATATACATAAGTATAGCAAGCATACTTTAAGTTACTTTTAAAAACATTTACAGAAATGCTTGATGGGTAATTATGTATTGTCTTCGCGGTCTTTGTTTTTTTTTTATTGAATCTATTTTAATTGGAAGTATATTACTTTTGTTTATTTACCTTTGCAGTTTTGCTCTTTATTTATATCGTATCATTATAGACCCTCTGTGCCGATTCTCAGTGCCGTTTATTCCCCCTATTGTTTATTCCCCCTATTGTTTATTCCCCCTATTTCACTCTGCAACGTTCTTTATATTCCGCTGAATTGGCGTTGCCAGATATACCGCTTTGTACGCGCAGGTATTCGTTTTAAAATAATGGCGTGCATTAATTGTCGTATTTAGTTCATAATGAGGCTAATTTATACAAGTGGTGTTGGTAGAGCAAAAACAAAAATAACGATAACAAATTATACGCTCAATAACCGCGAGTATTCGCCTTGGTTTACACTTAAAGTGGTCGCGCACACGATTGCTGCGCCACACTTTAACAAGATTTGACATATTTTTTTTTTTTTGTACTTAATTTTAGGTTTTCTTTATATAAATATCGTTCATTATTTAACAAAACCCGTGTAAGCTTTGAGAAATATTTACTTCCATATAACGAGTACAGACAACTTATTTTTATTTGGAAGAATTCCGTCACATATTCGACAAAAAAATAAAATAAATTGAAAAAATCAACCGTAATTTGTAGCTGTTTGAAACTTGTTCTTTATTCTACTAGAATTCAATGGGCTGCAAAAATGCATACTAAGAATTTTTCTAGGAGATCTAATTAAAAAAGCACGAAATTTCTAAGAACATTTGTTGAATTTTTTTAAATGCTAAATTATATACCAAATAAATAATATGTTAAAACTTGTCAAAATGTGGAGCAGCTGTAATTGTCGAGAAAATCGAAACAATTTGAAGTTGCTACCAAGGTTCATATTCGGCTTGGTTTCGACTTTTTCGGCTAAGTACAAACTTAAAATTTAGTTTTAGCTGCAGCTTAAACAAGCCGTAACTATATTAAAGGATTTTTTATTTAACTATGGAAGAAAATATGAAATATCTAAAAATTAAGTTGATTGAGCCGGATTTTTTATAATCAGTCTTATCATAAGTTTCATTTTCCCCTAATCGGTTCACTTTGGGTTTTCGACTAACAAGACGCACATACCAAGGCGATGCGGCACAATGAAAACGTTGCCGCAAACAAAACCGCTCATTTTGGTTGGCCAAAAGTCAGCTGGTTTGAATTCATTCCATGCATTGTTGTTTTTCCGCATTGCGTTGTCAATGTGGCCTCTCGTATTCAAAATCACAGAGTTAACTTCGATTTCAGTCAAAAGCATTCCTATGACACAGAAAAGAATTTCTATGTGGTGAGGCCTTAAAACACAAGCGACATTTTCAAGCAGTTGAGGACGGCAGGTTAAGATATCCGTCTTAAAATTCTTTAAAGACTCCCAATGCCCTCGAAATCAAAGCCGGCGAATTAACCAAAATATCACATCTTAAACTTTACCCGGCAACGCTGCGCACAGCTGTTGTTTCGATTCTCAACCGTTCCGCATTGTTGTTTCGCCAATTTTGTTGTTATTTTGGGGCTATTTGTGGGGCGAATTGGGGCTCGTATTTTGCTCAGTCGTCGATAAATTCTGTAAGTGTCAACAAGTGGATAAAGTGTGGCGAATGGAGAAATTATAAAATTTAAAATTTGTATGTATGTAAAAACTAGAAAAATTGGCCACTCCAAGTGAAGCGGTGCTACAAAATCTGTGCGTTGGTGTCGGAGGCGTCAATGTACCCTTTGCAATTTCAAGAAAATTCAACCATCTTCGAACAATTAAATTCACTGCAATTGGTGCATATAAAAGTGAACTTCCCCTCACATTATTGGTCTTAAATGATCAATAAAATATATGGACACCAGTGCGTCATTTTAAATAAAGAAATTCAAAAACAAAAAAATGCACTATGGAGTGAAGTGAGAATACATATTTGTGATTTTTTTGGCACGCAACAGCAGTGACACCGGCGGCGGGCATTTGTGAAAAATAAAAACGAGATAAAATATACTCGAATTTTTGGGTGCAAGACGACAGCAGTGTGTGTGGCGAAAACCAGAAATATTTTCTGTGAAGAAATAATGCGAAAAGCGTGAAAAGCAAAAGCATTCGCAACAACAATATGTAAAGAAAACTTGGCAATAGTTGTTGTACCCACAATATCACCCATTCATCAGTTGGCCCCAATTGCGGCCGAAATCATCGACCATAATCTTTACTTTACCAAAAAGTTTGATGAACGGTGGCATGTGTTCTTGCCTGGCGTAGGGAAAATAGTGAATACGTGCTTTGGGTCCCATGTTAATTTTATGGTCACGGTTTTTGTGACGGGGAAGTACACATAAACTCTAAAAATAACAGCAGAAGCAAAAAAATAGGTTTTACATCTACTTATACAACGTATGTAGTTGTTATTCGCTTGTGATTAGTGAATATAAAACCTATGTGCATATAAATATGTATGCAATTGTACGCATACTTTGCACCTGACTTTATTCGATTTTAATATGAGTAGCACGACTTTTGCTCGAGGACTAATAAAGGCAACCGCATTGGGTGCGCGATTTTAAGATATCAATTTCATATAACACAGTTTAGTGTCGCACACAGATAGAAAAACAAACCAAGTATCATTCATCAACCAAAAAAGTTAAAATAAAACCGCTGAAAGTAATATAAAACGGCTAGACTTAAATAATTTTTTTAACAAACACCAATAAACAATTCGCCTATATTTTGAACACCGTTCGACCTTCACATGTTTGGTTTATTTATTACGTATGCTGCTTAATACGCGCAACGTTATCTTCTCCACTCCACTGCCAGCCCCACGTAATTTGCATTGCAAATTTCGTTGGGCTAGTCAATAGATTAAACTTAATATTATCCTTCTCTAGTAGACAAAACAATCGATTTCAAAAATTGGAACTAAAAGGCAAATTAAGTAAACAAAATAAAACAAAACATTTGACTACGTACTAAACACCAGTACCATCTGCGAGTATAAACTTTGAAAAAACTATAAATCACATCATTAATCCCTTCTCATACACATAATAAAGTTGTGAATTTCCTTTGCGACACATGGATGACGAGTTGGAGGATAAAGTCTTCTATCAAGCTTACGTTTCCCACATGAAGATTTTATCAAAATTCGCTGTGGGCTTTTCGTCCATCAATTCGCCATTGGCGTACATTTGGAAACTATGTCGCCTTTATGTACTACGCCCCGAAGTCATATTTTTCGGTGTGATTCTATTCATTTTCTTAATCTACTTACAAGCCGTGGATGCCTGGAGTCGTGGCATTTTGGGGCGTATACAGACGACACTTGGCCGTCAGAGGACGAATCGCATGAAAATGACGAGTGAAGCTAGCGGTCATGGTGATTATCAGTCTTGGGAAGAGGTGCGTCAACAGAGTGCCGTCTATGCTTTGCTGGGACGACGACCACGCATGGAAGACAGGTGAGTAAAGGCATACTTATGAGATGAATGAGACCAATTACATATGTTTACATACATACATACATAGAAGCGAATAAATGCATATAATAGGAACATAAACATACTTAGTTTAAGTAAACGCAAATGCATTCCATTGTGAAGTGCTTAACATAGTTATTTACGTTCATCCATATGTAAATACATTGAGATTATAATAAATGCATTTAAAAGCATTCTTAACATATCTAACATCTATCCCACTTATGTAAATACATGCACACTTAAGTATGTTAGAATTTAAATCTCTCTTCATAAATTGTCTGCTCTTGCATTTGAATGCACATACATTTTTAGAACCACACATACATATGTATGTGCATATGTTGATGTGAGATTTTCGTACGTTTGCTTTGCATGAATACTATATAGACTAGGTCAGGGACAGTCTGTGCTTTGGACAAATTAATCTATATTCTTGCCAAAATATTATCATAAATAAATATAGTCACAAATGTTCATTAGGATGCCTCACAACACAAGTTGTTCTATGTATATCATTCGTTACCTGGGGCGCTTGTGAGGCAAAAATTACAAAAATATTCTGTTGAGAAATAATGCAAAAAGTTTGAGCATTCGCAACAATAAATATAAAGATAACTTTTCCAAATGTTGTACATACAAATCCCTCCATTGGTGAGTTGGCTCAAATCTTGTTTCTGTTTTTTTTTTTTTAATTTCTGGATAAAAGGCATTAAAAATTATCAAAAAAATCTCAATCAAATTTTTTCATGGCAATCTTTCAAAGCAGTTTCATAGAAATTTTAATAACTAAATCATGTCTTGACCAAGTTTCATAGTTGAGGTACCATGGAGAAGTTATTTCGTTCCACTATCAATCTCGTAGACGTATTTATTTGTGATGAGGAAAATGTTGGAAGTATTCCTGGCTGACGGTTAGCATTTTTGATTGTATTTTTTAACCGACTTCCAAAAAAGGAGGAGGTTATCAGTTCGTCGGAATCTTTTTTTTTTTTATGTATGTTACCGCATAACTTTGGACCACGTCAACCGAATTCGATAATTCTTTTTGCATCGGAAAGGTAGTGTCTCAGAGGTGGTCCCATACTAATCTGGTTAAGATCCGATCAGTGGATCATGAGATATATATATATATTTTTTTTTTTATATGAGAGTTGAAGTCGGTTTTTTTTTGCTAAAAATTACTTGTTTTTTTAACACATTTTTTTTAATCGTTGTATCCCAGAAATGGTGAACTTAGGAACAAAAGTGTCACAACGATTTTTACAGACAGTTGTAGGATCTACACTTTTGTCTAACCTATTTTTGTTACAAGCCCCATCGTTTTGCTGAAAAATGGTAAAAATTAATTTATGTTGTTGTTGTTGTAGCAGCATACAAGTTCCCAAAAAAGTTTTTGGGGAGTGTTGCTGAACTTTACAATCCTTGGCCAGATATGTATAAATCTGGGTCGTTCCGGTTACATAAACCCGACTGTCGTGGGAACGTCAATTTATGTGACATTTGACCTTGAATCATTTTTTTTGCAGATCTGGTATCGATGAAGACTTTTCACATTTCATTTATAGTGGTGCTCCTAGCATTCGTATCTATTTTCAGCTTTATGGGAAAATCTAACTTGATCGGACTTATAGAAAACAATTTTAAACATATGTTTAAAATATAGTAGCTATTAAATACAATAGTCACAGGGGTTAAAATGTACTTCAGTTAGGTGGACAAGTGATAATTTATGGTATTTAGCAAAATTGTGCTACGATTTTGTAAATAACATTTTTTTTTGTTGTAAAATCCCCATCTTAAAAGATTTCCACATATGTATAGATATTAGAGCTCGGGCAATTCGGTTAATAGATTAACCGAATTATTCGAATCTGACTGAAGTCGACTACTGTTAATCGGTTAGCAATATTCGAGTAGTCGAAAGCTGTCGACTATTCGGATAACCGTTCACTTTAGATTATTCGGTTAACCGTTCATTTTCGGTTAATCGAATATTTTAAGTTCGAGTTTTTTTTTGCATTTACAGATACATATACATATATGAAAAGTCTTGTTACATTCGTAGTACATATGTATATAAGATTGCATGTGCAAAATTAAGGCAAACTTTTTTTGCAAGAATGTGCGCTAATTATTGAAATGTTATTGCGAAATATTTTAGAGACAATGGCTAAAGCAATACCTACCTCTCATTTTCGCGATTTTTGTTATGGATTTTTGTTAAATGGTTGTTCAGTGAGGATGTGGAGGAGGTGTAGCACAAAACTGCACCATATATGGAACATGTTACTTCCTTTTCGTCCTCTGTTTTTTCGAAAAAATCCCAAACCCAGCTCCTTTTGCGTCCGCTCATTTTTTGTATCTGCATATGTATATGTGTGCATGTATATATTTAAATAATTTTTTTTTTCATTTGTCAAAGAAATTTCAATGAAAGTTCGGTTGCTGAAATTCGATTTGCTACAATGCTCGAGTAGTCGAAGCAAAGCAACTATTCGAATAATCGAAGGCGGGCGACTATTCGAATACCATTAACCGACTAATAAGCATGCGAACGGTTACGAATCGAATAATCGGTTAACCGATTAGTCGAATAGTCGGATAATTTTACGAGCCCTAATAGATATGCATATGGGTAATTTCATAAAATTTTGTTTAACTTTTTTTATCAAAAATATCTAAAACACATATTTTGTATTTCATCATGATATTCGAAAATCTCGAAACATTTTCCCAAATTTTGAACTCACAGAGAAGTATCTTTTTTCAATTTTTTGCAGTTTATAATCTATTTGTCGGAGAAAATTAGTTCCCAGTAGATAATTTCAGGAGTTAAAAGCCCATCCGAAAGGCCTTCCTGAGAGTCAAGAGGCCTTCCACTCTACATTCCTTTCATTTTTGTATGGAGGCCACAAATTGGAGGGCTCCTTCTTTCGCTATGCATAGAAGGCCTTTCAAAAGGGCTTTTATAGGACGTACTTCAGAAGGCCTTTTGGGGGAGTTCTTTTAAAGTTGCTTCACTAATTTATAAAAATTCTACATCTTTGAAGTATTTGTTTAAGGTTTACTTATATCAAATATGTTTTATTGTAACTTAAAAGTTTTATTGAAGTTCATTTGTAATGCTAATTAATATAAATTTATGCATTCGCGTAAAATTTACATGGATAAGCCTTTCTAGAAGGCACTTAAGAAGGCCTACCTAAATAATCTTCTGGGTTAAGTAATCGACATGTGCGTAATTACGTCGGCTGTGCATTAGAGATATGAGAAACGAGTGCGAGATAGATTTAAATAAATACTTTTTTGCATTAAAAAATCTTCTTTTTATATGGAAGAAAATGCACTTTATCATACTAAAATCTGGTGGGCTACAAAACTGCATACCCGAAAATTTTCTAAAGATTAAAAGAAATTCTGATGACAGTTTTGTAAAACTTAATTTTTTTTTTGAAATTCTTTCAAGCTTTAAAAATTTTATTGATATGGTTTCTGTTATAGATTGAATTATATTTTAAATGGAAATTATTAAAAATAAATAAATAAGCATAAGGGGCTAGCAATATCATTTTGAATTTCGGTGCTACTTAATTCATTGACCGCAGCTGTACATACATAATATATCGTAATGAACAATCGTTATAAAATCCTTTCTATTATTTTTTTTTTTTGTGCATCTCATGCAGTAAGCACCTTTTTAAATCTACCATGGCAACATTCACTCAACCAGAAAATTAGTGTAAACTATCTGACAGTATAAATCTACAATCAAATGGCATTTACAAGCACAACCAATGGAATTAAACAGGAATAAGAGATAAATCACAACTTTCGCGTTCTAGTGAAGTTATATACATACATACATATCTACGTATGTACATAATTAAATTTAATGAGTTGGGATGTTGTCAGTTCGCTCCCAATTTCAAGGCATGAAATTAAAATATTTGTTCTTCTAATTCAAGTTACGAGATAATTTCTACCATCACAAAGCTGCTCTTAAAAATGTATTAGTCATTTGCATATACTCGTAACCTAAAGTTGTAGGCCTTTATATACTTTTGCAAGAATCGAGCAGTTTAGATAGGAGGAACTGGTTACAGAAAAAGCCTAAGTAGGCCTTAACACAAATCTCGATGTCTGGAGTTCAGGGTTACTAAATCTCACTCTTGCCACAACGGCGATACAGGAGGTTTTGTAAAGGCATCGACGATGTGTTTTACAGCCCATTAAACTTTAGTTGATTTATTTTATTTTTTAAATTTTTTTTCTACAGATACAAATCTTTTATTATTATTAAAAGTATGTTTGAAATTTTTTTAATGGAAAATGCGTAAAATCCTTATCAAAAGTCAACTGCGTACCACACAATTTTTATTTTTATAGTTAGCGTGTTTTTAATACGTATTTGCTACTAAGTACATACATATATGAAAGCTGTAAATAAGTAGTAGATGAAAACGCATATATACTTTTTTATAATTTACATGTGAGTGGGGCTAAATCCGCAAAGCACTGATAAGATAATGCCACACAGACACCACTCATATACACTTACAATTGTGCATACTTTTTTTATATGTAAATCAAAATAATCATTGACGGCTAAGCTTCCTGTGCTTGAACAGAATGCAAAAAAAAAAAAAAAAAAAAAGTCGCACAACATTCGCATAATCCGTTGATCGCTAGAGACTTCCTAATCTCACGTTTGTATGTAAATGATGAAAAAGTGCTAAGTATGCAAAATGTGAGAGAGTTCATTGCGCTCAGTTCTTATGTAAATAAGTGTACTTAAATAATATGTAGATGCCATATATGTATGTATGAGCAGCAAGCAATATACCTACAGACTTTGTAATAATTTCACATGCAAAAAGCAGATTGCTCACATTGACGCAAGTGACGGTACCGGTCTGATCCACAGACTTGTTGCATCTATGCACATACGCGTACAGGAAAATAAATCTTTTACAGTTCTA